GAAGAGCGAAGCTCTGGGAGACCCGATTGTGCCAGGCTGAGGTTACAGCCCTCACTATGGCGACCACCAATGGCGAGGCGGTTCTATGCACCCTGGCACCAACAAAGCTATTTGCATGCAATGGGCACAAAAGGCAGCTCCCTTCCAAGGCCCTTGCTGTTGGAGTTCAGAGCTGTGCTATGGATTCCCTGACTCACAGGGCAGTTTCTATGTCTCCTTGAAATTGTGAGAAAAACCAGTCTGCTGATCTAAACTTCAGATTGATTGTCCACATTTGGCACTTCAAGAGGAAACTATGATGGCGAAATTGCCCTCTGTTGCTTAGAGATCAGAGTTCAGAAAATGCCTCCTCCAATCTTACTACATTTTTCTCTGGAGAAGTTTCATTAAGAAAAGAAAGAAGAACGAGATGGAATAATGCACAGTGTCTTTGAATGATTGTGCTAGAGGCCCTCCAGTGGTAGTATAATGCTACAATCGTAGAAATCAATATGCTGTTCCAAATGTCTGATTTCACTGTCTACTCTCCCACTCACATTCCAAATTGTAAGAGTGCATTATAGTTCCATTTACTTCTGGAAATGCATTGCATCACACAGTGACAACATGCGCCATGATAGTCCTAGCTCTGATCGTAGCCAAACTGGTAATTTTAGATGAGCAGAAGGCAGCAATAGCTGTCACTATGAGCAAACCTGATCCCATCAGTATCCATTTTGTTATCCATTTTGGGGAACAATATTTAATCAGGATTACTGCAATAGGTGAAATGTAAGGCTGTCATGAAAGAACACATTTTGTAATTTCAAATGCTGCAGAACATGACAGCCAAATTGGGAAATGTCATTTAGGAATGTAAGCATATAGTTGAGGCCTTTTCCCTGGCTACAACTTTTTGTTCAGACAAAATTCACATGTCAGTCTCAATTTGCTCTCATTTGTTTTCATGAAGTTCTGCTGGTTTTTTAAAGGCTTCAGGATTCTCCTCTTCATAAATGAGATGGTTAATGACTAGAAATGGTTTTATTTGCAGACTTTTAAATGCCCTCCTCTGGATTATCTATCAAGTTGGGATAAGTGGGAAATTCATATTTAAAAGCAAATTTACTTTATTTTACTTTTGAACCACTATGTGAACCAAATACAAATTGTTGATGGAAGTTAATCTTCTCTGAAGTTGCTATGCATAAAAACAGCAATTTTACAGAAGCTAAAGAAGAATGCACACAAGATGTATTATAGTAAACTGCTTGTACAAATGCATGCATTTGACAAATTTGCATATAGAATTGCATATATTAGAAAAAAATAGATGTGCATATGGGTCAAAATGAATTTGAAACAAAATGTTTATATATATGCTTTCTTTTAGACATCAGTTTAAAATATTGTTATTTGCTCAGGATTTGTTTCATTGAATTGGATTGTCTTTATCATTCAACAGATTGAACATTCTAATTCAGATAATAGTTTCCTTCATTGTGGCAACTTGAGCCTTTAGTTTCTAATAAATATCTGGTTACACTTCCTGTACAGAGAACCTCTCGAAAATCTAATGTGTGTGTGTGTTTGTGTGTGAGTTTCTTTCATTTGTGTGAAACCTGTAAAGTATGTTCATTTCACTTTTGATTCTAGTTTGGAATTTGCATCAAAGATTTATGTTAAGTGATAGCTAGATTTCTTTGTATTTTCTGTAAATTTTTGATGTTTGCATCAATAGAATTCTACCTAGATGTTCTAGCACTCATTCAATTGGGTGAGCTATACTTCTGTGTGTAACCCATATAAATCCAAGACCCTTTTGCTAGTCAATTACTGGCAGTCAATTACTATCAGCATGCATGTGAGATTATAGCTTTTAAACATAATTTATATTTACTTCTATTAAACCTCATTTACAAGTCTAACATTCTTCCAGTCTGGAGTGATCTTTTGGGAGCTTTTCCTATTCCCTATTTAATTACTAAAATGATTTTAAGATATGAGAAAATTCATCAAACTACTTACTTTTCCTAATGGCAGTCAAGTTACTGGCAAGTGAACAAGCACCAGTCTAATATCTAATGTCTGGTGCTTGTTAATCTGGGTAGATTACTTACTGGAATACATGAATCCAGTCTGTATATAATTTAAAAAAGCTTAAGAATACTGAGAATATGACAAGAGTTTGCTTGCAGTAGCAAATATTAACTAGTTTGTAATTTCTAATATCTGCATTAGATCTCCTTTTTAAAATGCAGGTTTCAGTTAGCCAATTTTCCTATGCTGTAGGCTTTTAGGAAAATATTCCTGTTTGAGAAATTAGTCACATCATGTGGAAGCTTATCTAGCAGTTTTATTAATTATGGGCATCAGGTGGAAAGCTTTTTCTTCTCTCAAGCTTACATTTCTGATTATTTTTAATTCTTCATTTAGCTGTACAGTACAGAGGGAAACTGGAAGGCTACCTTGGAAGACGGCAGTGGCAAACTGCTTGCATACTGTGGCCAACAATATTACAAGGATGTACTGTCTAGCCACTAAAAATCAAACTGCATTTGTGGGGAGTTTATTTTCTTCACTTTTCAAGTGTTGTTTAATTGATTTCATTGTTGCTTTAAGATCATCTTAAATCATCTTTTTAATTTTAATTGAGAAGCAGTCATTATGTGAAATCAGCCAATATAAGCAAGCAAATAGGTTGCTTCCATTTTAAAACATTTGGAATGTTTTAAAAGGTATTTATAATTTACTGAAATTTCTGGAATTTCAAAATACTACACTTTTAACTTTTGGGGATTAGGAAAATGCCTTATCTCTGTCCTTTCATTGTTCATATTCAGGGCAGAAAGAACATTTTGTATATGTGGAAAGCAAGATGACCTAATGGAAAACTAATTTTTAATCCATTTGTGTGGATGATGATATTCTTTTTGAAGATGGAAAGAGGGGCAAGAAGCAATTGGCAATCTTTGGCACTTTGGACAATTGCTATAGTTTCATGCCATTGTGAGACTGAACAATGTCCATCAACAAATTTGAAGAAAACAATCCTTACCTACAAAAATGGAGAAAACCAAGATAAGCAGCCGTGGTGTTTCATTCCTCTCTGCTAACAGTGGCTTCTGCACTTCCACTGAACAAAAAAGAACTGCTTTGCTTTATTCTTCTTTCAGAACAAAGACTGGAAGGGCAGGGGTGCTATTCAGCAGGTTCTGACACGTTCTGGAGAACCGGTAGCGGAAATTTTGAGTAGTTTGGAGAATCGGCAAATACCACCTCTGGCTGGCCCCAGAGTGGGGTGGGAATGGAGATTTTGCAATATCCTTCCCCCAGGAGTGGGGAGGGAATGGGGATTTTGCAGTATCCTTCCCCTGCCACGCCCACCAAGCCACGCCCACAGAACCGATAGTAAAAAAAATTAATTCCACCACTGCCAGAGGGAAAACCCATCATTGGCAAATTGGATTCAGTGTTGCCGTTGTGAAAATCCAAAACTTTCTTTCATAGCAGTGACACTAGCATTATTGTAAAAGTTCATTTTTGGCTCCGCTTTTGTGCCCAACATTATGCACGGTCAAAAATTGTGCAGGACTATTGGACATGAAAATAAGCATCTGCTTTTGCTTAAACAAAAGTTTATACAAACTCTGAGATGCTGAGTTCTTGAATTACTCCTGGCAAGGAACTAAATGCAATTTTTTAAGATGTACTTTTTAAAATATAATTTTGGAGTTGTCTTAGACCAAATAACCTAGTACCCAGAATTCTTACTGCATGTAATTCTATTGCAACGTTTATATCTTACAGATCTGGACATAAAATAGAACAAGAGTGCAAAAGAAGAGAGGTAACACTTATTGGGAATTGATGGAGCAGGAAGAAGACAGTAATTGCTATAATTCAAAAGGCAGCTATTCTATTTTTTTGGTCAATAGACCTCCACTCCAGTAAGAAAAACATAAGGCTACCATACCTGGATATTTTTGTAAAAATTCTTGAATGGTGGAGAATGATGCTACAAGAAAGAAAAAAAAAACTTATGTGGAAATTCCTAAGCCCTTCAAATGAATTGCCCACTAGTAATACTTATTGAAATACTAAGAGTTAAACTGACAGAAGAATCCAGTGCAACTAAAGATAAAGAAATAAATCATATTAAATGTGACAAAAACCATGTTAGTGCAGTCACAGTATAAAAGCTGTAAAAAGAGAGCAAGTGTGTTAACCGTAATGTCCGGCTGGAATACGTGCCAAGTCATGTCATTTGCTGAACTATGTGTGTTCCTTGCAAGCACATTTCAAAATTTTCCTTGGCAAGCATCAAGCTTGAAGCATCCTGTTTTTACAGGAGGATATGTAAGCCAAGATTCTTGGGATTTTCCCCCCTCTTCTTCAAACAAATGGCTAGTGCAATTGATTAAAAGGCATTGTGTGGTGTTTTCCTCCTTAATGGACTTTTTTTCTGAAAAGAAAAGAGCTGGATGAAGTGACAAAACATAAAAGGGTTAAAATGAAAGATAATATTCAAACCTTTTAACTGTTCTACACTACCAGCATAATGCCCCACCTACTGGCAGTTTCTACAGCATAGAAGCCTCCTCATGTTGAACTCCCTCTATCAGCAAATGAGGAAAAGCCAACTATTTTTTGAAATTTGCAATGATATTGTTATTTCATCACAATACTCTATCACACTTCTTCAGCCTAAGGAAACAGCCCATTGGGAATTGTTTGCTGTTCTCCATTGAAAAGATTTCTTTCTTTATCTGTGCAGGCTTCAGAATTTCAAATTGGCCTGGAATCAGGGCAAATACAATTACAGTCAATGTCCCTCGTGTTTGCCTATGTATGTTATATGCATGATTGTCTTTCTTCCCTAACCTCCAACACTCAGAAATGCTGATTTTCTTAATTCATAACTGGTGAATGGGATGAAGCCATGGACAAGGCCAAATCAAACTCAGCTATAGATAAAGTTAGTGTTAGGTTGGGCGATTGAGGAGGCAGAAGCAAGGTAGTGCATGACAACAGCTCTTTAATATAGTGTGAGACTTCAGCAAAGGTTACAGTAACACAGCTCCCTTTATATACCTTGCCGGCCAGGGAGCTGACCAATCACAATTGACCAATTAACTTCCCGCCAAAACTATATACATAACAGTTAGAAAAAGCAAAAAGATGCTTGCATACTACATTTTTGCAGTAGCTCAGAACTCTAGTGCCATCTAATCTTATATCATCAGCCAGGAGCCACATCCATTGATTGATAGTTCAACTGTGGTGCTTCTGAAATAATAATAAAACTGATTTTCTTGGCCAAAAGCACCATAGAGTGGCAGCACATGATGGTTCTTGCTTTGGTTGGGGGAAATTTACCTTTCAGTTTCTTACTTCTGCTCTGATAGTGATTCAGCTGCTAAAACTTTAATTTTTGCATTCTAGAGATGATTATAGGCCAACTTCAGACTATTTTAAGGATTAGGCAGCAGAAGCAATATGTAACACAGTCCACCAAATTGGCTGATATCTCCTAAAGTTTTAAACTTGCACAAATATAGACATATAGAGGTATTTACACCACTGATCTGAAAAAATAAAGTGGGAAGTATGTCTGTGGAGATTCTTAGTCATCCAAGTCATAGTTGTCTCAAAGGTGCTTTTTTTTTTCTTCAAAAGGCAACTGGACAGTTTTTCTTGAGGAGGAGGAAGAAAACGTTTCACTTCTCATCCAAAAAGCTTCATCAGTTCTGATGGGGGGATGGAAGGATAGGTACTGACAATTGAGATTGGATGGTGGGAAGATGGAAGAATAGGTTCTGATACGATGGTGGGGGGATAGAAGGATTGTATTTCTTTGCAGTCATCTGGTCATTAGAACTCTCTCTGATAGCTGTTGAGGCCACTTGGAGGTTTATCTGTGCCCTCAGGATCGCCTGAAACAGAGTGCAGTTTGTTGTGAAATCTTCTTGGAACTGCTGCAGGAATTGTTTTGTAAACTGGAGCTAGGTGGTCTCCTATTCCTCCCCGTCTGTTGAGGGAGGGGTATTCAGTTCTAACATAGATGGGTTCTTTTAAATCATTGGTTTGAAAGAGGGGTAAAAGAATGCATTTATATTAGTATCTATGTTAATGCTGATTTTGAGGATTGCTATTTTATTTTTATTTGCTTCATGATTACATGATCATTTTTTTTGAAAATGTCAGCTGCAATATTTACCCAAACAACAACTTGCTTCTTTATAATCCCCATCCAAAGTACCTTGAAGTAACATTGGAACAGACTCCCTCTTATAAGATACATCTAGAGAATCTGGCAGCAAAAATGAATACTAGGAACAACATATTCTAGAAATTATGTGGAACTAAATGGGGAGCTTCAGCTGCCACCCTCAGGTCATCAGCACTAGAATTGGTCTACTCCGCAGCAGAATATTGTGCCCCTGTATGGCTTAACAGCTGCCTACTAGTAAGTTAGATGCCAGACTCAATGACACCATGAGGATTATAAGTGTATGTATTAAAACTACTCTGACTTGCTGGCTTCCTGTTCTGATCCATATAGCACCACCAGCTTTACAAAGAAAAGATCATTAGTGAAAGAATATAGAAAAATTATGAACAACTCACTTCTACCACTGCATGCTGATCTTCCTCATTTATTAACCAGAAGACTCAAAACCTGGAAGCCTCCATTGGCACTTACACATCGTCTGCCCAACAACTTTAGCATTGATTCCCAATGGAAAGCCAAATGGGTTGCTGAATGCAGGCAGACATAGATACAGGCAGACATATAATGACCCCACAAAAAAGGTGCCAGGCTTTGAACTACCACCTCAGCAATGGACAATTCTGAATAGGATTGACACCTCTCACAGCGTCTGCTGAGATTCTGTTTAAATGGGGCATAGTATCCTCTCCTAAGTGTGACTGCGGGTCCCATGTCAAACTGTAGATCACAGCATGATTGGCTGTAAGCTGAGGACATACACTGGTTCAGTAGGTGATTTTTTTAAAATACAAATGATACTGCGTTTCAATGCTTAGATGGCCTAGACATTAGTATTTGAACATAGAGCTTTTTAACATTTATATCTTACTGTGTTTTACTAATCTAGGTGAAATGTTAATATATTTTGCTAGTCCATGTATGATATGCCATTCACTAAATAAATAAATGAACAACAAGTATCCTGAAATAATGTAACATTCAGGGCATTCTGACAGATAAGGATCTTTTCACATCACCAATGCTTTTTAAAAAAAGCAACAACAAAAAACACATCCAGTCTTCTACTACACTCACTCTCAGACAATTATCCTGAAAACTCAGGCTGAGTTACCAGCAGTCCCTTCCTCTGACGAGCACAAAAAATGGCTGCCAGCCAAGATTCCCCCCTCTCTCTCCTTGTTCTGCTGCACCACGTATTCACAATAGTGGGGAATATAAGAAAACTGCTTGCTAAACTTCCCTGAAGCCCTGTGTGAGAGCATTGAAGTGTCATGGAGAAGGACCTGGCCTACTGCTGCTGGGGAAGGGGAGGACCGGGGTCAGGCATTGGTGAGAGATTTCACCAATGAGAAAGCTGCGCTTCCCAACCCCTCAAAATTCAACCATTTTAAATCCAAAAAACAAAGATGGGAAGTCTGGGCCAGATCAGAAGAAAATGGGCTCTCCTGCCCTGAGGTTGCCAACCTAGGAAACAAATGGGGCAGACTTCCACAGACACATGCCTCAATAATGAGGGAAGCCAGCTGTGCTGCTCCTGCCACCGCAGGAAGGAAGGAGAAGTGAAATGAATATAATTTCAGCAAATCTATAATGACATGAGCAACAAAAGCTTTTGCAATAATGATAACAAGCCAAATAAACGAAGCAATCGTTTCTTGTGTGTTGACACTTCCTAATAGCATTATCCCAATTTCACACTTGGAAGCAGACATACACAAATATCATTTGTATTATGTTACATTTGCATAAGGGGCAGATTACAACAACCTTCTTTAGCACCTTTCAGAGAGAAAAAAGACTGGAAGTTGGGATCACACAGCCACCTGGGCACATGACTAGTGTTTGGAAAGCTAATATATATGCTAGTTCCCAGCCCCAAGGAAATTGTATCCAAGCTCCTATTAGGATGTATATATTTTAGCATGCTAATATATTTTTGAATGAGTGCCATTACATTGGCTAGCTAGGTATATAAGATCACTTTGCCATGAGAGATAAGGTCAAATATAGGAAGGCTTTTAATTAAACTACCAAGTGTTCAACATAAATCTTTGATGGCTAGATTTCCACAGATGCGGGAGAAAGGGCAGAGTTGCAATGTGGGTGTGCTGGAAGGATGAGAAAGGGAAATCCAAGGTGGAAAAAGAGAAAAGGAACATATCATATGAGGAAATCTAGCAAAAAAAAAAAAGTGCATGATTTTTTATTTAATCCAGAATACAGGTAGAAGTTTTTCTTCCAATTTAGAATCAGGAAGGAGCCAGGGTTTTGTTGGGTTGCTCAGTATGGCATATAATAGCTATATCATTCACCTCTTAAAGCAGATTTGCTGCTCCTTAAGGAAGGCAATAGACTGTATAGTTATCACCTGAAATGGGATTTAATCCCTCCCACAAACTATACAACCTACTACCTCACCTCCACAAAGCAACACAAAGGCCTCACACATTTGCATATTTGTAGAACTGCATTCCTGACACCCAAGGCCCCCAAATTGATCATTGTTCATGTCAATAACTTGCATGTAGGAATGGGTAATCCCATGGGAGCAGTTGAATTGACTGTCTCCTTAGGAAAGACAGTAGATTGTATAGTTAGCTCAAAGGGAGAAGATGGCTCCACAACTATTCAATCTACTACCTCAGCCTCAAGGACAGCATTGTTTTGATGGTTAGGACTGGCAAACTTCAATGATGGCTAAGAACATTGATGGTCTTGAGGTTCAGATAAAGATGGCTGATCAAATGCAATCTACAAAAACAGAAAATGAGGAAATATCAGCAAATACAAAGCGTTGGGCTCTTGAAGTTGTATTGAAGCAAGTTTTCATTGGGTTTTTTTCAGACATCCACAATAAATCAGTTTGATAAAGCTTGATAAAAGAGACCCACTATAATTTTTTTCCAGTTCCACAATATTTTTCCAGTTCCACAATTTTCATTTTCATTCTGTAGTTGCCCTTTTCTCCCATGAAAGTATATACAGAGTGGAGACCAGATTGGACTGATCTGCATTTCTTTCTTCCTCCCATTTTGGAAGGGCAGGAATGGATCATTTCATCATTTCCTCAGCCCGCATCTCGGCTGCTGGGAAGATGATCTTTTCTTGATTTGCATGAAAAATACTCATCTTGCCCTCTCCTGGTGGAAACAGGCAGTCAGATACCTGATCCCACCTGCTGCACTTCATTCCATTTTACACCAATGGCTAGTAGGCAGTGTACTTCTCAATCTTTGTTCTCCGACAGCCATTTTATACTGTATTGTAACTGTTGGACTCTTATGATATTAGACTTTGTTTTGTTTTTGGTTTTCAGATTAAGCAGTAGAACAATGAAATGTAGTCTCTCTTTTGTGGAGCAGTGAAACACTGACCTGTCTTCCTTCCTTCCAGCAATTTTCCATTTCTAATCTATGTGACAGGAAAAACTATAAAACTTATTTTTTTTCTTTCAGAACTCAAAACCAAAGGCCATAAAAAAAGAAAAGCAATTGGTGCTTGCTTTTCCAATGGGGGTGGGAGGAGTAAAAAAACAGGGGAATCCACCAATTACAAACCTTGGTAATTCTGACCAGATTGGATATCAGACAGTCATTGTTGTGGAGGAAGAAGCTGAAACTTAGATAAGAATTTCTTAAACTGGCTTCCTTTCCACTCAGTTCACACATGGAAGACAACTAGCTGAAGGCTACATTGCAAAAAAGAGTCCCGAGTCAGCATAATTTTCTCTGTACAATTCCTTATTTGCCTCCTCCCCCCTTAGTTAAGAATATCTGTTAAGGGAGGAAAAAATGAATAATTTTATAATATATTATGTTTAATATAATTTAGATCTGTCCATTTTTAAAAGTTGAATTATAAACTTAGTTAGAATAATACAGATTTTAGACGACGGACAAAGTCCATTAACTAATCAGCAATAGTACCTATAGTACCTCAATTGCCATTACATGGGACACAGAAATAAAATTAATAATAAATGAAAAATAGTGTATAGACTAGAGAGCATTCCCAGGTCTAGATCCAAACATGAGCTGTTCTGAGAATGGGAGAAAACAGACTTTATTGCCGTTTTATCTCAGAATAGCTCTTTTTTAGTGCATGGGGTCTCCCACTTTAAGAACAACCTTTGAAGGGGCTACTGGAGAAAGGAGCAGAACTGGAAGGAAAGCAACTTTCTTGGCTTACCTTCTGCCATCATTTCTGCATCCAGTAGAATCCATTCTCTCTCTTTTTCTGTATATTGGGCAAATAATTAAGAGAAACACATAAATTAGTTAAAAACTTAATGTGAAAAAATGATTTGTTTAGTGAGTTTATGCTTTAAGAACAGCCTTTGAATGGGCTACTGGAGACAGGAGCAGAACTGGAGACAAAACAATTTTCTCTTTCTAAAGTAACGAACACTTTAGAAATGCGGGAAAAAATGAAAACAAATATTTATATTATTTTTAAAAGGTTCCTACAATGTGACAACCAGGATGGAACAAATTTAAAACTGTGACTTGTAAGAAAGTTAGGAATTAAAAAGGATATTTATCCACTCTTATTCTCATCTTTGCTTATTTTTTAATGAAAATATTTTCATTCAAGGGCTGAATGAAATGGCAGCTCAAAATGTAAAAACAAAATAGTAAAATAATCCTAATGAGAGAGTGAGAGATAATGATTTCTGAAGAACACACCTAAATAGCCCTAGCCCTAGCACTTATACTTATATACCACTTCATAGTGCTTTACAGCCATCTCTAAGTGGTTTACAGAGTCAGCATATTGCCCCCAACAATCTGGGTCCACTTTTTACTGACTCAGAAGGATGGAAGGCAGAGTCACCTTTAGCCCCATCAGCATCGAACTCCAGGCTGTGGGCAGAGTTTATCTGCATTAACCACTGCACCACCAGGATTAAAGTTAGGTTCTACAACAATCATGTAGCACTAATTCACTACATGCATTTGACATTTTGGCATCTGGCTAACTTTTCTTTCTGATACTCTTTCTTCTCTGCCCCCTCCTCCCCCCATCCCATATGCACTTCCATTTCTAAAAATGACATCTTTTTAAGTGGTCTCCTGCAGTTAAGTGATTAAATTATGTATGGTATATTCCATAATATCAACTTGCCTCCACATTCCTTTTTAAAAGTATTGTTATTACAGTTTAATCAAGCTCCTAGGTTCAGTGATAAACATTTGAAAAGTAGCAACTTCCTGCCAGTTTTCAGCAGGAAGCTGAAGAAAAAACCCTTGAAACCCCAAAGAAAACCAAACTTCATCAATTCAGTGCTTTCAAGTGGAGCTGTTATTTTATTAAAATAATAAAGGCATCCTGAAAAATTTGAAGCTGTATATCGTCTTTTTACAATAAAGTATTTTTTTAAAGATGTAAGTAACAATAATTTTTTTTAAAAGATGTAACACAATTAACTCCCATATAGGTTTTAAAAAATTATACATAACTTTTTTCTATTTTTCTAGACAATTTTATTTAATCAATAATTTTTAAATACAGTTTTCCACAGAAAATATTGGATTTTTACTGCAACCAAAATTTCTAATGCAACATATATCTTTCAGGCAATCATGTCAGATAGTGGTATTTCAGTCTAGCTTGACAGTGGATTGATTTCATCTTTTGATTTCATCAACAGTATCTAGGAGGGAAATATAAATGGTAATCTTTGCCGGCAAATGTCATCTGATTCTATAAACAGTCCCCTCCCCTCCATTATAGGCATGAGCCAAGCCTATAACTTTATGTTTGCAGGTATACATATATATATATATTTAATTATATATACATTTCATTATGTGTATTAAAAAATTGAGCTCTAAGTACCTTTTCATAATCTTAAACCATTCTGAAGGGTTCTTACCAGACTGAATTTCTTTAAAATTTGTTTATGTAGATGATTTACAAACTCATTTTTACGACCACTAATTTGTACACAATCTTTTTTCACAAAAGTGGGCAAGTATGCTAGAGTACAATTTATGTTTGGCCAAACCATAACATTCTTTTTCCTTTCTGTTCTTTTCTGTGATTTAACATGCCTAGCTCCAAAATCTTTGCACTTATTTCTCTGAAGTTGGAATCATTTATTATCCTTGCAAAGATTATTCCATTCCTTAAAAGTATATTGTTGTAGTGCAATATTGGAACTTGGAAGAACCAAGTTCAAATCTAGCCTCAACCATAGAAACTCACCATGTGACTTTTTCCTCAACTAACCTACTTCACATTAAATTGCAGCAAGATTCCCATGCTATCATGAGTCTTCGGAAGAAATGCATAATATAAATCTATGTATGTAAGATACAATAAATGTTGTAAGTATTTGTGAATAACCCATGATAATCAACAGAAAACACGTAATCTTAAATCAGAATTTGCCTCAAACTTGATCAAAAAACCTAATTTACTCCATTCATTTTTTTCAAATTGTTGAATTAGGCTCTTTACTGAGCCTCTGAGCTAAAATTTTAATGTTACTATTCTATTTGAAGTTTATGAGAGCTGAAGTCTAAAACATCTGAAGAATATCTACTTGTGGAAGACAAGACAAATGAATGTTGAGTGTGAAATATTTAATGTTTCTCAATAAAAATTGTTAAAAAACTGCTTCTTGACAAACACACATACACATATACACATACTGTATGTATGTATATAATTTTGTATCATATAATGTGTCTATGCACACACACACACACCACACCAATAGAATTTTTTTTTAAGATTTAAAAGAATACAGTACAACATACCTGGCATTAATTCTACGATATGACCAAGTCAAAATTTTGGAGCTGTATAAACTAACATGATTTAAGTAGTGCCTATCTGGAGATCTGATGTAGAAGCATATTTCTATTATTTATCTCCCTGCTGGGCACTTATATCTGTATAGAAATTCAGATTTCTAAATATTTGAAGTTCTCTGGATATAATAAGTAGCAAACATGGAATTAAACCACCACAGTGACTTACAGTACTCCTAATTTGATTCAGGAAACCCTGTTTCTATTTTTATTATAACAATAAGGGTCAGCGTGTGATTAGGCCCCTGCTTTAATAGAGAATGTATAAACACAATAGAAAATAGTTGCTGTTGAGAACAGAACACCTAGGAGAACACGGAAGTCACATAGGAGCAAATACCATGTTTCAGTGGTATACACTAAATTTCACAACTAGTTCTTTCATAATAATGGAACCCCAATAGTTCACAAGATATGATAAATTTGTAAATATTAAATAAAATTGATACTAAAGACTTCTGTTCCTCTGAATTCACATTCTTGGATACAGCAGTAGAAATCAAAAGCATGGTCACTCATTTTGAAACTGTACCCAACATTTCATGTATGACTAGAAGAGCTTGTTTTAAAGATTTAATTGAAACAAACAATTAATAATTATCAACAGTTATAGAATATTTGAACATAAAAGATTCTCAGTGCGTATTACTGAGCAGAAAAATGTGTCTAGCTTAAAGGCTACAAAAAATCTATTTGTTTTGTTTTATTGGTCCCCAACAAGAAACAAAACTAGGTGCTTTAGCATTTTTTAAAATCATTCTTTTTGATCTTTAACCCTCACCCCATCTTCAAATAATATATTTACTTGGAAAACTTCAATCTCCTATAAAAATAGTTATGTTCCCACACAGCCTGAAATTTCATAAAAGGAAGCAGCATTGTTTCAACATAATTTTAGAGGAAATATCTATTCAAATCTTCAGAATGAATGCTGATGAAAAATATGGAACTGGGACTTTATTTGGACACAGTAAAACAGTGCAAGTGCTACAATATATTGTGGAGTGGGGGGGGGTCACTTAGGGTTTTTAATGACTGGGAGGTTCCCAAGTCATCATATATAGATAATAAAAAATCTCCCTTGTGGCAAGTGCTCTGAATCCTTATTTCATGCACATTTCTAAGAAAAGAGATGTCATATCTATGTTTTCCTGTAGCTTTATATCAAAGTGCCACTGTCCATGACCAACATCTCTGACCGACTGTTTTAAAAGTCTAGCATTGGCAAAGCCAACACATTCCAAATGCAGCCAAAACAGCATTTTGTATGCAAACAAACACAAGCAATTGCTAATGCTAAGCTTGCCTGAAAACCCAAATATTTTTGCAGAAGCATTTATAGCTTCAGGTGCTGCTCTATCTTATCAAGAGAGTCTGGCAGATTATAAAAACAAGGAACAAAATAGCTGCTTTATAAGTAGATGGTGCTTTCAGCTTTTGTACAAGCACAGTCCAGAGCAGGGCTGCCAAAATTATCGGAGGCAGTTCCCAGATAGAAAAGTGGTGCCAGTCTCCCTTAAAATCTTGTCAGTCCTTCAGTGTGATAGCCAAACTTGGAAACAATTAACCTGAAACAAAAGCCCAGGATTATTTTCGCTGCCTGCATTCTTACAAAATGGCTGACAGTCAGCCATTTTGTCATTTAGATTTACGACAGAAATGGTGCAGCAATTTGATGTTTGGTTCAGTAATCTTTTCCAATGAAAGCAGAAAGAGCAGCAGCAAAAGTGTTTTGAAATGTTTAAGACTTTCAGAAACAGCATAGACTTGCTGCATGCTGAATATTTATTCTAATATCCTGCTTCAAAACTATTTTTTTAAACCTGCAGCAATAACAATAATCAAATGTTTTCTTTTGTGTGTATTCTTTTGAAGGAATGGAATTATTGTTTTTAGGCATTGCTCTCAAGAAAGAGAAGTGAAATTATAGAAATACTACTTGGAGTCCCTAACTTTATTGTTTATATCCACTTCCTAAGCAGCTAACAATCATTCTGTTAAAATCACACTGTGATTCATAACATGCACCAGAGGTGGGTTTCAGTAGGTTCTGATCAGTTCTGGAGAACCGGTAGCGGAAATTTTGAGTAGTTCAGAGAACCGGTAGTAAAAATTCTGACTGGCCCCACCCCCATCTATTCTCTGCCTTCCAAGTCCCAGCTGATCGGGAGGAAATGGGGATTTTGCAGTATTCTTCCCCTGGATTGGGAAAGGAATGGAGATTTTACAGTATCCTTCCCCTGGAGTGGGGTGGGAATGGAGATTTTACAGTATCTTTCCCCTGCCATGCCCATCAAGCCATGCCCACAAAGCATGCCATGCCCACCAAATTACACCCACAGAACCAGTAGTAAAAAATTTTGAAACCCACCAGTGACATGCACATATATAAAAATATCCAGTCACCATGTTTCTGGA